AACAAAGATAATTTTAAGGAAAAAGAAAAGGGATAGGCTCATCTCATGAGAATATTTAATTAATTGGTGATATTCAAATTTTTTGATCAATTATTAAATTTAAAGGGTGGTTGATATATATATATATATATAGAAAAAGAACTTTTGTAAAAGTAATGCATTTAATTTTTGGTGCAGCCGTCAACATTGAGTCTTCAATTTTCCAGTTAAATAAGCATGTGGTACCCTGACAGTGCCAGTGTGCCGTCGTTACCAAACAAACTGTTTGCATCATTTCATTCGATTGGACCAATCATGTGGCGTAATAAAAAAAATGGTTATTGAGACGAAATTAATTTGGGGATGAATTATTGGGACTCCCCCGTCCTCATTTTATTAGTTGTAGGGCCATGTGTCATTCGATACCAACCAATTTTCTTTTTCTTTTTTTTCTAGTACTAGAAAAGGAATTTTCTTTCGGAATTTGGTGAATGTAATGTAGGGAGAGTAAAAAGATAGTTAAAATTCAGAGTACTTGTTAACTTGATATGTCCCAATGGTATTCAACAAAAGAACGTCAAGTTAAGAAAGAAAACACCGGACATGGGCATATACAGTTAATATGTCATTTTCAAGCTTTTGTTAATGTCATATAAATAGTGAAATATTTGTGTTTGTTTTTATTTTATTTTATTGGTTGTATAACGAAAAATAATATTTTTTTTTTTTTTTATCTTATCTTATCTGCATATTATATTATTCGAATTCATAACTTTTTATTTTTAACGAAATGAGATTACTACTAAACTATTTAGATCATTGATAAATATTTGTATTCGTTTTGATTAATTCTATTAATGCATAATTTGTTAGGTAATTATATTGTTTAAAAATATTAATTTATAAATTAATTTTAATATATTAATAATAAATATTAATTATATATTTTATTAATTAATACTTATAATTACCAATTATTTTTAACAATCACATAATATTTTCCATGGTGTAACAGTAACCATTCTAAGTAATATACTTAGTGGAAACTTTTTTTTTTTAATTGGCAAAGAAAATTTTTAATATATTATCCAAGAGTATAAGAAATAGTTCAAAACATTATTACATATCTTTTCCATACAACCCATATAAACTATCAAAGCACACAACAAAACAAGTAAAAACCTGCAAGGCAAAAACAATCAATTCCTCTGCAGCTTGAAATTCTTATTTCTTCCATGCTTGGTGGTGTCGCTCACACCTTTCGCCGTCCTTGAAGTCCAATCCTAAAATG